GTGCATTTCCCAGACGAGTACGGGGTAACCAGGCCCTGTCCGGGATCGGCGTCAGCCCCTTCTGTCCTGCGGGCGCTGCTGCCTGTTTTCCGTAGCCCACAAACTATAAACTTTTAAGTATTTTTAATTTAAATGGTTAAAAAAAATCAAAAGGAGAATCTTGTGGCATGTGAAAAAACATGAAACTTTTTATTTGACTGAATCCAGTATTTTCAAAGTTTGGCAAACTGGCCTGTGCACCAGATTTTGCCTGCCTGTGTTTGTAAATAAAATGTTATTGAAACACAGACTCTCACTTTCCTTTAAGGGAGATAGAACTTTCACACTACAGGGTAGTGGGCGAGCTGAGCAGCTGCACAAAGACCAAGTGGCATAAGTAGAGCCAAGAATATTTACTGTCTGGTCCATCACAGAAAATGTGTGCCAACTCTCTTCCCTCCCCAAGCCCCAAATGGTAGCTTCAACTATGAGTAGGACATTTGTGCCAAGACGGGAATGATGAGGAAAAAGGGAAGGAAATTTCAGGAATTCAAACTCCCTGGGGTGGAAACTCCTGTTGAACAAGCAGAAAGCTGGTCCTTAGGTGTGGCGGGAGCAGAGTGGACGGGGAGGCCAGGAGGGGGTGCAGGGTGGTGAGTCAGAGAATAGAGCCGGTCATTATGACAGGCCATGGGAAAGGGTCTTTGCCAGATTGCGAATGTCAAGGTAAGAAACATTCAAACCTGCAGGGCATTTTTGTGAGTTTATTTGAGCCAAACTATCGACAATGTCCAGGAAGCAAAATTTCAATGGGTTGAGAAAATGCTCAACCCAGAGAATGGCAGTTTTGCATTTTATTTTATACGTTACAATCAAAACAGAAGACATAAGTGGGTTACATGAAATCCATTGGTGATAGATTAGGGATTAGGAGAAGGTGGGGAGGGGGGCCTCTGGGATTGGATAAAAGGTAATGATAGTGGGTACAGGATACATAAGTAGGTATAGGATAGTTAACCGTCAACAATGAACTCAATAACAGTAACAATGAGAGGATTTGTGGTCTCCACCCTGCTGCTTTGGATATGTCTTGTGGGGTCTGAAAAAAAAGAAAATTACTCTAACATTCCAAAAGTATGTTAATGTAAATGCAAAAAGACAATAGACAGACTTCATTAAGGTAAAGATTGACTTTTGTCAGGGAAGATTCTAGTCTAGGACATGACTACCTATCATAAACTGCTTTTAGTTAAAAAGTTTTCATTTCAGCCCAGGCAGTGTGGTTCAGTGGTTGAGCATAGACCTATGAACCAACAGATCACTGGTTCAATTCTGGGTCTGGGCACATGGGTTGCAGGCTCAAGCCCCAGTAAACAAAGCCAGAGGCTAGCAGAAGAAATGAAACAGTAAAGATTAGGGCAGGAATAAAGGAAATAGAGAATAGAAAATTAATTAATAGAGATAATTAGTAGAATCAAATGTTAGTTTGAAATATCAACAAAGTTGATAAACCTATAACTAGACTCACAGGTCAAGATAAGAGAGAAAACTCAAATTACTAAAATCATGGATGAAAGGGGGGACATCATAGCCAACCTAGAAAAGATGATAGAAAAGATGGTAAAACAGTACCATGAAGAGTTGTATGCCAGCAGGTTAGACATCCTATATAAAATGAGCACATTCCTAGAAAGACACAAGTTACCAAAACTGACTTCAGAAGAAAAAGAAAATTGGAGAGAACCTATAATGAGTAAAGAAACTTCATCAATAATGATAATAATAATAATAATCTTCCCACAAAGAAAAGCCCAGGACCACATAGCTTCACTGGTGACATCTACCAAATGTTTAAAGAAAAATTAACACTAATTTTTCATAAACTATTTTGAAAACTAGAAAAGGAGGAAATATTCTATGGGTCTATTCTAACATTGTATGAAGAAAGAATTATCCTGATAACAAAACCAGACAAAGATATCACAAGAAAACTACAGATCAATATTCCTTATGAACAAAAATGCAAAAGTCCTGAACAAAATAGTAGCAAACTAAATCCAGCAATCCTATATAATAAAGAGCTAATATGCTAATTAGACCAGATGGCAGAACGACCTTCTGGAACAACCTTCCAGACTGACCAGTGGACAGGGGACAGGGCTATGAGGGTCTACACTTGCATGAATTTTGTGCATCGGGTCTCTACTGTATAATTGCTGGGGTCCAGCCCCAGCGGTCCAGGGGTTCCCAAAGGTGTGGGCAGAGTCGGCGAAGAATGTTTTACACGGAGACAGCGTTCAGAACTCTCTAGCTCTCTTTAGTCTCCGTGGATCTTCCCGTGCCTGCCTGAGCCACAGAGAAATATCCCTAGACAAGCTGGGCCTTCATTTTATAGTCAGAGGTAAACAAGGTAGTGGTTTCCATAGTTACACTGTTCTTGTGAGTTTTACTTATTTTAACCATAGTTATACTGTTCTTATGAGTTTCACTTGTTTTTGTTCTTGTTCTTGTTCTTGCTGCACTTCCCTCAGCCCATTAGCTTCCCAGATAAGATCTAGGAGTGTCATAAGGTCAAGCCTAATTATGCTTAAGAGGACTGTGCCCTCTAAGCCAGGACTTGTTTGTGACTTTGCCAACAGGTCAGTCTGAGGCTTAATCCTATATCAGCTCCCCACATATAATAAGAATTATAAATCCTGACAAGTGGAATTTATCCCAGGAATGCAAGTTTGGTTGGTTCAATATTAAAAAAAAAAATGACTATTTTAGTAGAATGGAGGACAAAAGATGCAGAAAATGCATTTAACAAAATCCAATACCCTTGCATGATTAAAAAAAGCACACCAATCAACAAATTTGGAACAGAGGAGAACTTCCTCAACCTGAGTAAGGTCATGTACAAAAATGCCACTGAGGATGATACTTAACAGTAAAAAGCTGAGTGCTTTCCCCCTAAGCTCAGGAACAAGACAAAGATGTCTGCTGGCACCATTTCTATTCAACATTGTACTATGTTCTAGTCAATGTAAGTAGGCAAGAAAAAGAAATAAAAGGCACCCAGATTAGTAAGGAAGCAGGGAAATGTAATATGCTAATTAGTCCTAATGGTGTCACAGTCACGACCACTAGGAGGAGTCTGCCTGTGCGTGCACAGTAGGGCATTGCTCCCAGAGATGGGGTGGAAGCGGGGAGGTGCTGGAAGGAGGCCCATGTCAGGGAGGGCAGGGGTGAGAGCCTGTAGTGCTATCTCTATTTGCAGATGACATGATCTTGTATATGGGAAATCCTAAGGAACCCATTAAAAAGCTGTTAGAGCTTAGTCCTTTGCCACCCACTGCTCTCACTCAGAGCGCCCCGCTGCTCACCTGCCTGGAGAAGGAGCACAGTGCAGCAGGCAGGAGGTTTCCACGCTCTCCTCTGGTGCCATGACCGGGTGGAGCTGTCGCGTTGCTCCAGAGACGGGGCGGAAGTGGGGAGGCACCTGGAGAAGGCAGAACCAGCCCTCTCTCTCATCATTGATGTTTCTCTCTCCCATTCCCTACCTCTCTGAAATCAATTTAAAAACTTTAAAAAAAAACCAGGCAACTCGAGGGACTGAGAGCAGGGCTTGAAGTAGCCAGAGAAGGCCAGAGGAGCCGGGGAGCTGGGCCAGGTGCCCTGGAGCTCTGCGTGGAGAGGTTCGGGTGTCAAGGCAGGGCAGCGGGTGGATGGGCTCCTAGTTAGAAATAAACGAGGAATTCAGCAAGGTTTCAGAGTATAAGCAAATATATACAAAACTCAATTGTTTTTCTATACACAAGCAAGGAACAATCTCAAAATGTAATTAAGAAAATTATTCCATAATTATACGCAAAGTAATAAAAGACTTAGGAACAATTTTAATAAAAGAATCCAAGACATAGACATATACAAGGAAAACTTAAAAAAATTAATTGAAAGAAATTAAAGACCCAAATAAATAGAAAGATATTCCATGTTCATGGATCAGAAAATTTAATGTTATTAAGATGGTAATAGTCCCCAAACTGATCTACAGACTCAATGTAACTATCAAAACTTAGCTTTTTCTAATAAATCGACAAAGTAATCCTAAACTTCATGTGGAAATGCAAGGAACCCAAAATAGCCCAAACAATCTTTAATCTTGAAAAAGACCAAAATTGGAGGACTGAACACTGCCAAATTTTAAAACTTACTGCAAAGCTACAGTGTGGTTTGCAGGTTAAGCTAGACATACAGATAAATGGAATAACAGTGAGAATTCAGAAATAAACCTGCACATTTATAGTCAATTAATTTTTGACAAGGGCATCAAGACCATTTAATGGGGAAAGAACAGTTTCCTCAACAAATGGTGCTGGGACAATGGGATCTTCACAAAAGGATAAAGTTGGACCCCTACCTCACACCATGCACAAAATGAACTTAAAATAGATCATAAACCTAATGTAAGAACTAAAACTATAAAACTCTTAGAAGAAAATATAGGAGAAAAATCTTCATGGCCTTGGTTTAGCAATGGTTTCTTAAATATGATACCAAAATCACAGGTGAAAAAAATAAAAAATAAATTGGACTTCACCAAAATTTAAAACTTCTGTGTTTCAAAGGACACCATCAAGAAAGTGGAAACAGCCCCAAAATAGGGGAAATATTTGAAAATCACATATCTGATAAAGGACTTGTATCTAGAATATAT